ATGCTGAAGTGAAGAAATTATTGCAAGTTTTTTAGCGCTGGTACCAGCGTGGCTTACTGCATCATATATTACCATTGGATATACATAAGACTTATAAATTTGATCCAAAACGGCTGTCTGAAAGTATCCACCATCATATAGAACTGATAGACTGGCTAGAATCCGGTCATCAACATCTTGGACGTCTATTAATGGCAGAATTGCAATGGAGTAAGCACATCGAATATGTAAGTTCTAAATGCAGTAAAATCTTATTTCTGATGTATCAATACAAACATACATTTGATCAACATATGCAGCTTGGCCTTATTCTAACTTCAAATTTGGATTGTGGACTCCACATACTGATCAGGAGTTGCAAAAATGTTCACCCATTATTGGCTTGATGAAATATCAGAGCAAATATATGTCTCATCAGGACTTGGCAACGATGTACCAAACCTTCATCTTTAGCATGCTCAATTATGCGATACAAAGTTACAGCGGGACGATATGGACAAATCTAACACGTTTGGCACGAATGCAATATCAGGTTGCGTTGACAGTGTTAGGCGCGTTGTGTTTCACCTCCCACCAAAAATTATTGGCTGATTTAGGATGGTTATCTATATTTGATTTATGTCGGGTACGATGTCTGTATTTGTTTCAAAATATAATTCGGGGTAAAGCTCCATAACATATTTGCGAATTAGTTCCTACTCCACCTTTTACTACTTATCATCTCGAAGTCGTACTCGCTTTGATGTTCCTATACCTAAACGAGGACTAGCAGTTTTTAACAAAACGTTTTTTCCAGAAACTTTGCGTCTACGGAATGTTCTTGATATCTCCACTCGGTACATAGTTAATCGACAACGATTCAAATTAAAGTTAATGTATAGGAATGTTTCAAGTCTCCGTTGGCCTATTGTGTCAAATAGACGACTTGAAGTCGACTTTACTAGATGCAGAGTAGGATTCGGTCAATTAAACTTTGATCTATTTACCCATACGTGTATTCAGTCTCCATTGTGTATTTGCAATAAAGCAAATGAAACTATCTATCGTTACTTTTTTGATTGCGAGATGTATAATACTAAGCGTCTGTCTTTACTACAAATCATAATGACTGCTCTTCAAACAGACACAGTTACAATTGATCAAATTTTGCTTCAAGCTGCTATTGTAAGATGTCTACCTAGGGATGACTTGATTCTTATATATAATGCTATCTTAAATTATATTGCTGATAAGAAACGTTTTATTCAGTCTTGATGATGTTGTCTCTTATCTTCCACCCTCTATGCAAAGTTCGTACAGACAGCAACTTTTTATTTTTATTCTCCTCTATTAATTTTTCCCTCTCACAATGATATTATTGCTATAGATCATTCATTTAGTACTTGTACACGTCTATCTCATTTACTTTATTCTCATCTTATTATACTCTTTTCTTTTACTTCACATTTTATTATACTGTATAACAGTCTGTGGCATATATGATTACGCTTTGTACCACTTTGCTAATGGAGAAAATAAATGATTTAAAAAAAACAAATGTTTTTTCGATGCTCTTTCTCTGCTGATTAATTAAAAATTAAAGAAAACCAAGGTTTTAGTTAACTTGATAGGCGAAAAAAATTTTTGATATGACATATATGTACTTCGTACATCATTGTCGTACAGTTTTATTCGCTGTATAATTCTTTGGGTGTTAGTGAACAAATTAAATTCTCAAACGTAAATACGTCCTGACTCTCATTAACCGCTATTCCTATAAGTTCAGTCGTGTAAGTTTTTGACTGGAAACCTCTCTCTTTGCGTATGATTAGATTCACACACAGATTCACATTCTGTTTTACATATATTTCCGATGCAGTTTTCCAATAAATTAATTTTCTTTTCCATCATATGCGTGTCATTTGGTATTTATTTTAAGGAAAGCCTTTGATGAAAAAAAATAACCTCACGATTTTTTCAGAACATTCATTTTAAAAGCGACTTTCACTTTTCTTTGAGAAATTTCAGTCTCTATGACCACCTTTCAACAACAGCTCGTTCTAGCGTACAAGAGCACTATAAATGTATTCTATTTACACCTATAAGATGTGTGCCCAGTTGTGCATGCCATTATAGATCATTATAGCGTGATCATTTTTTCTTTACATATATGGCTTTTCTTTCATAGATTTATTCATTTTATGTAGAAAATACTTTACTAAAATGTCATCAGCAGATTCAACCAGTTTAATACTGACCCTTAATTCAATATCAGCAGTATTGAAATCATTTGTAACTCCAACATTATTAGTTATCGGCAATATCAGCTCTTTGTGTAATTTGGCAACATTTCTACAAAGGCAACTCAGAAGCAACACATGCTGCATGTACTTTTTGGCATCATCCATTGTTGACTTTATATTTATAAATTTTGTTGTTACAACACGAATAGCTATAGTAAGTATATACACCAGCTACATGATTATCTAATATAATTAATTAATTTTATTTACACACTTACTCGCCCCAAATCGCCCGTATGTCGAACAACACCGGTGCCCCGCCGGCTCCGAGTAGCTGTGAAAAGTATTCTCCCGCCCGCCCGTCACCACGCGGTCCCGTGAGCTCCGCAGGTGAAGATACGTGGATTGCACATCTCTGGATCAGACAGTACATCTTCTATGACTATTGAGTCATGTGAAGAAAATTTTGTGTTAAGTACTCCTCCAATGAATAGCTGTGACCAGAGGAAGAACAGGGTAAAATCTAAAGAGCTTGAATATATTCTTGTCCACACACCACGTCCGGTATTCAATAGAGCTCACAAAGTCCAGTAGCTATTTAATATGGATATGTGTATATTTGAGTCTCCTAATTAAATTCTGAAATAAATTCTAAATTTTTACCTTTCCTACCTAATCCATCACATCAGGAATTCCAGAATGATTCCGGAGTTCCAAACGAGCCATCGCATTTGCCTTAAGGGGGGACTTAACCCCCCCTTAGTATCAATTATTTTTAACCATATTGTAGAGAAAATAAAACTGCACTTACCATAAAATTTTCATGAGGAACGGAGTTGTTTTGATCGAGTTACAGCCTTCACAAGGTATAGACCATTTAGGACCTTTACTCTCAAAAAAATTCGAAAAATATCTCTATGCAATCTTTTTACCCGATTTTTATATGGATCGATAGAGGATCAAAAGTTGTACATACCATAAAATTTTTATGGTTATAGAACGAATATTGATGAAGAAACAGCGATTTTTCTTTTCTGTGCATTTTTACGTATTTTATAGTATTTTTCGAAAACTTTGCCTGTGATCCCAGGACTATAGATCGTTGTAGGAAAAATCTATTCTAACCAAAAGATGCACCGTCAAATTCTGCGCGGACTGAGCGGAGCAAAGTTTCCATATTGCATCAAAGCATTGATCATTTGTTCAAATTATTAACGTGGAGCTCAGCCGACCTTAATTGCAGCAGATGTTTTATATGCATGTATGTTGTGGCCAAAATTCAAATTTAGCCAAGTTTTAATTTTTTAATTTTGTCTGATGATCTTAAATTTGGCTAAATTTTTAATTCTGGGTATAATATATATATATATACATCAGTATATTCATCTATGGCTTTGTGTTAAACCCATACACATTATAAAAAAGATATGTTTTCTTTAAGAATACTCTGCGTATTGATATTCTGACATCTCTGCCACCCCTTATGAATGCACCGCAGGATCGATTTCCTTTGATTTTGACCCGCTGCTTTTTCGACTTAATTTTGATCAGATTTTGTAGAGAAAATGATTTTACACATTTTTCAGTTCATATGTACCATTATCACCTTATGACGACTTTTTAAGTTAACTTTTCTGAGGAGGTATATAAAGCATATCGGTGCTCAACGAAAACGATTCTGTTCCAAATCTAATATAGAGTTAGGGTAAAGCTTCATAGAAAAATAGCCAACGAAAAACTGAACAAACGAGTACATGGACCATAGTCCCATACTCTGCTTTTAAGAGAAATGGTTTATTTTCGAACATCCCCTGTCTAGTGATCATCCTTCTGCCATCATTTTTCCCCAGTTTAGCGCATAAATAAGAGAGTCTTTAGTATAGAAAAAAAGCTCTTGAAAAGCTCTACAATATTCTGAATAAACAAACTCTCTATATCATTGACTGAATGGCATCGAAAAGTCAACACAATTGATGTTTTAGCCATTTTTCTCCCATAAATAACAGAGGATGCAACTAATCTTTAGTACGTTCGATAGCCCTTAGAAATTCTCTACAATCTGAGCTAGTTAGAATATCTGATTAGGCGCGTCCAGTCTTCAAAGATATGCACAAGAGGCGTTCGAGCGTTATATATGCAGTACAGTGTTTCATAATCATAAGAAAACTATTGTTTTTGATTTTTCAGTAAAAGCTGGAACCAATCTGGATACTGCTTTGATCATTCCGAAGATTTTTCTATCAGATGAGGTGCATATCGCCACGTTATGAGAAAACTTGATAGTGGGGTTTCTGGAAAACCTGAAAGCTAGAAAATCAAGTATTTGGATTTTTCAAACCGTACAGTCTCATAGAGCAAAGAATTCTGAGCAAAATAAGATGTCTCCCAGTTGTCTATGACGCTTTCTCACTGAACTGGAGTCGATCTACAAAACGTGAAAAGTATGAAATTTTCTGGGAAAATATTCCGTTGAATAGAATCGTTTTTGTTCAGCACCGATATGCTTTATGTATCTCCTCATATCAGACAAATATGATTTGTCCGAAGTTCTCCGTTACAAATAAGCGAAAGTGTTTTCCCCGAGGTTTTTCCAGAAGTTACCCAAGGAAAGCCATTAGTCTTTCGAAGGCTTAGAATATTGAAACTGATCTTTTGACAAATTTTAATAAAGGCAGTCAATTATCACTACATTTCATATCTATCTCCAAATTTCATGAAGTTTTCAGAGTTATAAGGCTCAAAAGCGTGAACGAGAACCATACACTTGTAAACACTAAGATGAAACTATTCTTGCAGGAACATGGTAATGATCTACACAATAGAAGTGTATTCTGGTGTAAGTTTCGATATTACGTTGTCTATGTTCTGGCGTCAGCGTCATCCAGTTATATAGTATTGGCTACAATTGATCGTTATGCAGTGTCATTTTCATTAAATTCAAAAATTCGACAAATGTGTCAAATGAAAGTTGCCCGTCGCCTTCTTTGTCTACCCTTTGTTATATGGTTAATTGGCTATTTTCATATGTTGATTTGGTTTGATCTCATTGGCTATGATGATGGAAATGGTAACATCAGTATATTTTGCAACACAGCTGAAGGTTTTTATACAATATTTTATTCTACCTTTGAAATTGTCTGTATTGGTATTCTGCCATCATCATTAATGCTTATATTTGGACTTTTGACAATCTATAATTTAAGACAGAGTCGTCAGAGAATCGTTACAACTTCTCAGGCAGCAACCAGCCGCATTTTAACAACAAGGCAAGTACAACGCGACTCACAACTATTGAAAATGCTGCTAATTCAAGTTATATTCAGTATTATATGTGAATTAACATCAATGATTGGCGATTCCTATGATACCATTGTAGCCTATCTTCAAAGAACAGATAGACAAGTTGCCATTGATTCACTGTTTACACAAATATGTCGATATTTTTTCTATGCAAATTATTGTAAAAGTTTTTACTTGTTTACAATGGCAAGTCCTTTATTTCGGAAGACATTCAAAATGTTTGTTATAAAAAAGTTATTCCGATACGATTATCTTGGTTCGAAAATCGGCACGAGCAACGCAGCCATTAAAGATCGTCCACAGACACAATTACCAGCAATAATCAAAGCAGCATATCAAAATGAAAAATGAAAAAAACAAAGAAGAAAGGATAACTGTATCCATCTAAACAGTTTCTATCTACGCATTTATTCGAAGAGAGTTTGACGTATTGAATTTGATAGACAAGAACCGTGGGATATTTACCATAACTAAGGTTGTCACTTTTAACAAAATTATGTGTCCACGCTTAAAATTTTTTTCTTTACTCTACCATCTATAAAAACATTTTAACTCATCGATCTGTCATTTTCACCGTTCTATTTGTGTAAGTTCATTCTAGGATTCTAGTTGAAATATTTACTGTTTTGAGAAGAGTTTTAGAGCTAAAAGTATTTTGAAAAAGACTTTACAGCTAGTTTCGCTCGAAGCACGCATTTTGAAGCAAATCTCTGAATGTAAAAGTTGTTCAGAATCGAATTTCGGAGTCGCTGACGAGAGCTTTACTGGAATTTTCTGTTTTTAATTTTTAAATTGAGAATTATGAAATTTTAAAATTATAAATAGTGCACACTATTAAGTGTTTATGACAGAGTTTTTAAGTTTTCATGTTGTCACTGACTCATGAGTTAATGAATTTATGAAGTTGATCGTTTTTCGCTCTATTATGACTTTCGCTCTCTCTCAGAGAGGTTTTCACACACCAACCCATAAACCCTATTATTTTATTGTGAGATATTAACGACACGACAACAACTGACACGAACTGTCATTAAATATTCAGCGTTTATGTTCATTAATCTTTTTTAATTCATTGAGAGATGTAGATTACACACGCTAAAGAAAGTCTACATCGATAACTTAGTATAAAAGGATTTTAACGAACACAATTTTACAGGGTTTTCCTCTATTTTCTAATGTGTTCTGTAATTAACAGACGATGTATTTCGGTAAGTTACAGGATTTTGCTGATACATCAATCAAAAAGAAAGACCTCTGGTATTATTAATCAGGTCTATTTGTTTCATTGACAACATATATTTTTTCAGTCAGATAATGAATTTTACTTCGTACATCATTGTCGTACAGTTTTATTCGCTGTATAATTCTTTGGGTGTTAGTGAACAAATTAAATTCTCAAACGTAAATACGTCCTGACTCTCATTAACCGCTATTCCTA